CATCTGACTACATCATCATCTGTCTACATCATTATCTCTCTACATCATCATCTGACTACATCATCATCTGACTACATCATCATCTGACTACATCATCATCTCTCTACATCATCATCTGACTACATCATCTGACTACATCATCATCTGACTACATCATCATCTGTCTACATCATTATCTCTCTACATCATCATCTGACTACATCATCATCTGACTACATCATCATCTGACTACATCATCATCTCTCTACATCATCATCTGACTACATCATCTGACTACATCATCATCTGACTACATCATCATCTGTCTACATCATTATCTCTCTACATCATCATCTGACTACATCATCATCTGACTACATCATCATCTGACTACATCATCATCTCTCTACATCATCATCTGACTACATCATCTGACTACATCATCATCTGACTACATCATCATCTGTCTACATCATTATCTCTCTACATCATCATCTGACTACATCATCATCTGACTACATCATCATCTGACTACATCATCATCTCTCTACATCATCATCTGACTACATCATCTGACTACATCATCATCTGACTACATCATCATCTGTCTACATCATTATCTCTCTACATCATCATCTGACTACATCATCATCTGACTACATCATCATCTGTCTACATCATCATCTCTCTACATCATCATCTGACTACATCATCTGACTACATCATCATCTGACTACATCATCATCTGTCTGCATCATCATCTGACTACATCATCATCTGACTACATCATCATCTGTCTACATCATCATCTAACTACATCATCATCTGACTACATCATCATCTGACTACCTCATCATCTGTCTACATCATCATCTGACTACATCATCATCTGACTACATCATCATCATCTGACTACATCATCATCATCTGACTACATCATCATCTGTCTACATCATCATTTGACTACATCATCATCTGACTACACATCATCTGACTACATCATCATCTGACTACATCATCATCTGTCTACATCATCATCTGACTACATCATCATCTGACTATATCATCATCTGACTACATCATCATCTGTCTACATCATCATCTGACTACATCATCATCTGACTACATCATCATCTGACTACATCATCATCTGACTACATCATCGTCTGACTACATACATCATCATCTGACTACATACATCATCATCTGACTACATCATTATCTGTCTACATTATCATCTGATTACATCATCATCTGACTACATCATCATTTGACTACATCATCACCTGACTACATACATCATCATCTGACTACATCATGACCTGTCTACATCATCATCTGCCTAAATCATCATCTGACTACATCATCACCTGACTACATCATCACCTGTCTACATCGTCATCTGACTACATTATCATCTGACTACATCATCATTTCACTACATCATCACATCACCTGACTACATACATCATCATCTGACTACATCATGACCTGTCTACATCATCAACTGACTAAATCATCACCTGACTACATCATCACCTGACTACATCATCATCTGACTACATCATCACCTGTCTACATCGTCATCTGACTAAATCATCATCTGACTACATCATCATCTGACTAAATCATCACCAGTCTACATCATCATATAACTCCATCATCATCTGACTACATCATCATGTGATTACATCATCTGACTACATCATCATCTGACTACATCAGCATCTGATTACACCATCATCGGACTATATCATTATCTGACTAGGTCATCACCTCCCTCAAAGTGTTTGAAATAAATCATTCTTTCCAGGGCTCATTGGGTTAACAAGCTAGTATCTCAACTGTTTCTTGATCTACTCTCATTTTATATTTACCATGTTGTGTTTACACAAAGTCTGTACGACAATAGAGAACTCTAAGCCATAGCTAAGAGACTCAATCTACAGTAAAGTAACAGAAAATTCCTGTATTTCATTCCCACCATGTATTTCTACCATGATTGCGTTTGTAAGTCTAATACTGACAGTACATGCCAGTGGATTAAACTGAGTCATCTAGCCGATAGTCTGTATGCCACATTTATGTGGCAGAAGTTTGTATTGATTCCAGTGAGAGGCTGGCCCTCCTCTAATATTAGCAATGGTGGGGAGGCATCATAAAAACCTATTGCGTTATACTTTTCGTAATTTAAAGAGAGCTCCCTATATACGGTAGACGAGTCACTTTATTTATTCAATAAACAATATGTTTATAAGTTATAACAACCCACTTTAGCTGCAATGCGCCAAATTCTACTTTACTGAAGCTATGTATCAAAACTATCAACCACTTACGTTGTTTTGAAGTTACTGAAATAGTGAAATAGCAATTAGTATAAATTTATACGTCAATCAGTCAATGTTATTAGTAATGGAAGATTGTGTAAGCCATGTATCCATATAACCCTTCGCGTATATATCAAAATGAATATTAAACACCACAAACTGCGGACTTACCGAGTACACCTTTAAAGAGAACAGAAAATATAAGTATGGCTAAACTCTTCATTTCTGCCTCATACACAGAACCGCACGAGTATTATGAAATTTTGACGGAAAACGCATCCCACTTTACTTTGTTATCCTCACACGAAAGTCACGAGAAAAAGACGCTGTTTTGTCGCACCCCCAAATTTTTATGCCAAACAAAATATGACCCCCCGTCGAAAAAATGCGAGACGACTGACGAGGACCTGGTAAGCAAAAATAGAAGGAAGGAGTGACGCTTCATAATGGCGGAACAAAGTGGTGGAGTTGGGAGGAAAAGTCGCGCGTTTGCCGACAAATTAAACAAGTAAGTCAGTTGTGATTGCGCTGTTTTGTAATGCGAAGGTATGTCAGATTATGGTCTGTAATACAACGATGTTTTATTCGCTTTTTAGGACGTATTCTGCGGCGCAAGCCAGGGAAATGGCCGCATCTACGTTGGCGTTTGCCCATGAAAGATCGAATAGTTTCGGTTCTCAAACCAGCATGAACAGCAGATCTAGTCAAGATACTATACAGGGGATGTTTAGCGGCACAGTAAGTTTATATCATCCGTACTGATCTGTACATTTTGAAATTGCTTGCGGGTTTTAATTGATAGTGATTATTGACTTATGGTTTGTGGCAAGTCGAATTAATATTTGATGAATTAACATCTGCAACCGGATGCCAGCATATAGATTATTTTATACGCAGCATCCGTCGTTTTGTGTGTGTGGAAAAGCAGGTCAAAACATTTCGAATATTACCGTATACTTATTAGTAATCAGTAAATTTCCCGTTGGGTCCATGTGCTTTATATTGTGCTAGAATAGTCATGATGCAATATTTTCTTTTTACAATCGTGCAAATAGTAATCTTAATTAACCCATTGAAATATTTATAAAGTACATGGACAGACAGTCTGGTTTTTAAAACCCAGTGTGCCAGTGCTCTCCCCTAGTAAAATTTTCTAGCATTAGACTAGAGTAAAATTGAAATATAAAAGTAGGGTGCATTTATAGTGTGCATTTGCATTGCAACCTACAGTAATGGATTAATACCATCCGAATTGAAACTTGCATAGATCAAATTGAATGGTTGGCCAGATGATTGATGGTTAGGATCTGAGTCAAATCTTATTTGCTAAATTTGCTGTAATTAATTGTAATTAACCCATTTTCTCTTGGACTGTGTTGAGTCAAGACAATACTGTGGATTCAGGTAGACCGTTAAATGCGAATAGTTGTCGTGTTAGTTTTAACGGTTGTACGATGACGTTTCTAGGCAGATTTTCAGATGTTTCTAAGGCATGTCTTCAATGTATGTTTTCAAAATTTGAACGTTATTACAACGGTTAAATTTTGAACATAAACATTTGAAGCCATGCCTTAGAAATGTTTGAAAATCTGCCTAGAAACGTCATTGTACAACCGTTAACACGACAACTATTCGCATTTAACGGTCTACCTGAATCCGCAGTAACAAACTGAAAATAAAGTTACACTTGGACTAATATTTATTCCTATCTTTGGCATGTTGTTTCACATATGTTTCTTAATTCGCACAGTAAGTTTCCACAGACTTCACATTGATTGGAAATATTCGATGCGTACAAATATGCTTGTTTATCCTTCTGCTTGTTGTGCTATTGATTTGAGTATGTTCATGACATCTTGACGATGATGATCAACTTTAGGCCTAAAAAAAAATACCTGTGGTTCTGATTCCCGACCGACCCTATTTTTTTCTGCTGAATATATTATTTTTTCAATTTCAATTGCGATTGACCGTGCGACCCTGGGCAGGCTGCTCATACAGTATGCCAGAATGGTGTCTGTTGTCACACTAATTATTGAACCAAATTACCTATAAAATTCGTCCATAGGAAATATGCATCTCTAGTTAATATTGATGTCGGGACTCTACTGCAAATCGCCCAGCAAAAAACCACCAAAATCATCAAAAAAAAATTTCCGATCTACCGACCCTAATTTTTTCACGATATGAAACTGGAACCACAGGTATTTTTTTAGGCATGGGCGTACCGGAAGGAAAAAATTAGGGGGGCGGAAAGAAATTTGCCCGACTTTTCCGGATTGTGCCCGACAAGTACCCAAAAAATTTTTCTGGAAATTATTTTGGCGACCTCCCCCTCCCCCCCCCCCCCC